ACTAGGTTGGCGGAGCAAGTACCGAGACCAAGTTTAGGCGACCGGTAAATATGAGCATCCGACAAAATCTAGCGCATACTCAACCGATGCCCTTTTGATGTACCAACCACTTTGGGAAGCACGCTGCCATTTTACATTTGTAGCTGGCGCAAACTTGGATGTTGCTTTGTTCTCAGTTTGAGATTGAGTTGCTTACGGCAGTATACAAGACGTGTTGCAAGACCCACAAGTTTCCAACCACTGAATTAGCCTTCTCACCGCAGAGCCTTACCGATGCCCCAACCGATGCCGAAAGATGCCCACTTTGAACTTTGAACATGTTTGTGCCCATGGAAAAGCAGCTCCTCCACAACTTGTACAAGCACTACTGTGAACATGTTTGTGCCCATGGAAAAGCAGCTACCCCACAACTTGTACAACCACAGCTGCAGTTGATTCGTGCCCTCGCTGTTGGCGTGCCAAACTATGGCAAGCTTGATGCCACCAACAAAGCTTGAGAGCCAACCCTGCAAACCTGCACAACCGATGGGGGCTGACCCATTCTAGGCAGTGTCTCGAGGCTAGATAAGATATTTTTTCCGGCACACACACACTATATATAAATATACGTATACCTACTTAATTTGATTCAGTAACGGTTTTAGCTCCTAGTAGCTGGACGCAGGATAGTTCACCCTTCTTCAATCTTTAGGGCGGCGGGGGGGGAGCTTCCTTGAAGAAGCACTCGCACTATATAATCATTTGGTTCCTAGATTTTTGGGCAGACCTGATTCTCAACATTGGGGTCTGGGCATAGAAAATAAAATGTAGGACCTCAGCCCCCTCCAGAGCACAAAAAAGTCAAATTTTTATTTTAAAAAAGCTGTTTGTGTTTGGAAGATATGGACCTTGGCTCCAAAGAATCTATTATAGAATGTGAGGCTGAGGCTGGAGAAGTTTTTCTCTTCTTTTTTCAAATAACATCAGTAGTGATACAATGACTTTGAACCTCAGCACTGGTTGATTTTATTTTCATTATCTTGGGAAGCGAGCGCGTTCAACTACAAATACTTTTACGTTTGAGTATATGAGGACCCACCTCAAATTACTTAAAATTACTTTTGAGTTTCCACCGTCCCAGTCATTAGTTCGCAGTGGAAACTCAAGGTTTTTTATTCAAAGGTAAAAGGTGATAAAGGTGTTCCTAGGATACGAACCTTTGTGGAGTCAAATCTTTGGTCACAACATGTTTTGACTTTTGTACCACAGCACCGAACCTTTGTTTTTTCTTTTACCACGATAAAAGTCCAAACATTTAACTTTCAAAGTCCAACTCGGTTGTGTTTAACAGACGTATTTTATTTTATCTAATTCTTGCATGGCACGAAGCCAACCCCCCACAAAAGCCACCCAGTCCAGGAAGAAAGCTTTAGAATAAGAATTGGTTTGCAGACTGAAAGAGGTATATGTTGTAGTTCTAGGGTGGGTTTAGCTTTGGATTGGCAGATTCTATTTTATTGGAATTGTCCTTCCAATGAAAGCCACCCAAAACACAGACACAAGCACAGCACCCCACACAAGTGCTGTCCAACCCAACCCAGTGAAATCTCCTAGAGACATAGCATGAAAATCACGAAAGGTAGCTTGAGCTACCTGAGTTCTCCTTGCTTTAGCAAAAATGTATTACAATCAGGAGTTGGGATTGTGCATTGAATTTGGTCCTGTAAGAGTTGATTCTGTTCGTCGGGGGGGGGCCCCCCCCCCCCCCCAAATCCCCCCTGCGCCGGTTCACGCCGTCGTGGACTTCTACCAGGGTTACTTGTGATTGCCTGCTACCTTTCGTTCACCCCCTCCTCTCTCAAGTAGAATGTGGGGAGGCATGGTCAGAGACAAGTCTTTTGTGGTTGGAGGTTGGGTAACTGCATAAGTTTTTTATATATCTAATTGCTGCATGGCACCAAGCCAGCCCCCACAAAAGCAACCCAGTCCAGTCTTGGGCCCAGTGGTTGGTTGTGTTTAACATTTAACTTGGGCATGTGTGTTTAACAGACGTATCATAGGTATTCATAGATCTCATAGGTCAAGATCAGGGTGGAGTGGGAGCCGACGTCCAGCATAAGCCTTTTTTCACAATTTTTGACCTTGGGGTAGCTCATGTTATGTTCACCAAGTTGAGTGCGCTGAGGTATTCTGATGGCTCAGTTAGATGATGATTTTCCAGGGTTGGACCCACTGTCTTTATTTAAAACTACCTTGGCTACCCCCCGGAATTATTTTTTTTGGGGGGGTGCTGACCCCCCTGCTGTCAAGCATGGGCTGTATTCTCAACTTGATGTACTCACTTCAAAATTTTTTCGATCATTCTCAATGACTTGGATCTTTGTATCTTCCTGTGATCTCCTTTGCCCCTCCATGACTACCCTAAAATGTTCAAAATGCAGCCCAAACTTCCGAAGCAAATGTTGGGGGGCGACCCCCCCAGGAGCATGGAGCCTTCGCCGCAGCCACAGACCGACGGCGGCGTCTAAGCTTCACCGCACCGCATTGGCGCCGCCTGGCGCGGCTTTGGGCTGCGCTAGATGCAGTGCACCGTTTGAACAAGGTGCACTGCATCAGTTGAGCGGGGCTCCAACTCAATCGTTTGATGACACGATGCATTTGGATGCATTTTCAGTAGGTAGATAATCAATGATAAACATATCATAACTTTGGCCGCAGCTTTCTTCGTTTATAATTTTGTTATATTTTAATTGTTATTTGCCTCGAATGTCAGCTTTGCACACAAAGCTTCGCAGCAGTCAAGGCCGAGCGCACCTGCACACAACGAGAGCTCTTTTATCGGGCGATCTCCGACTCTCAGTGAAAGAAGTCGCAAGACCATCATTTTCAGTCTGTTGGAACAAAAACCAAACAGACCAATCGGCTTTTGCCACTCATTATTTTGCATGGCTATTCTTTGACCAAGGACTGCCGGGAGCTTTTTGGCAGCCAGTCAGTGATGGATAGGGCGCTGCGAGATGCTGTCGGCGCCCTCCAAGTTGGTCGCCCGCATTTGGGGATTCTCACAGCGGAGAAGGGGCTGCTTGCAGGAGAGCTAGCTGGGGCCTACTAGGGAAATTGTCAACAATTTAAACATGTTTTAACGAGTCCAAACCTAGGTCCAACAGGCCTGCAACCTTGCATGAGTTGTCAGGAGACATTGCCTTCAAGGATCCAAGCGCTTTTGCATCTCTTGCTGCACAGGGTTCAAGCGGAACTTCGATCAGTGAGTCTATGCTCAAGGATGACAATAACATTCAAATTGGCGAGAAGGCCAAAGTGGTGCTGGTCGTTGAAAAAGACACCATCTTCCAACACCTGTTGCACAGCCGTCTCCTGGCAGCGTTGCCAATGATCTTGGTTACAGGCCGTGGTTACCCTGACCTTCTCACACGGCGCTTCCTGCAGAAGTTGCATCGGATTGCTCCGCATTTGCTCCAGCTTTATCTCGGAGACTTTGATCCTGATGGAGTTGCCATCTACCTTCTTTACCGGACCAGCTGTGAGCAGCTTCGATTGTTGGGCTTGCATTCTGATGATGTGAAGAAGTTGCCAGTAGAGGCAGGTGTTTCATTGTCCAAGAGAGACCACACTTTGCAAGCTTCGTTGCTGAGAAGAGAAGAGGTTCGAAGGAATCCTTTGCTCACTGATGAAATCCGGTCCATGACACGCAAGTTTGAGCTAGAGGCACTTCATGCTGCTTATGCAGATGAAGGCATGGCACTTAAGTTCATTCCGGACAAGATCAAAGCATCGTCATGGATATAGAATGCTAAGTAGCTACGGCGGCTCAAAGCGCAAGCGGCCAGCCATAGCACAAGTGGTCGTAGTACCAACCACGTGTTACACTGGATTATCAGCAGTTGCAAAGTTGAAAGAGATGACTGAGAGGATACCTCAGGGATCCTCAGGGTACCATTGAATTCAAACAATATGGGACGAATCAGGCCCACGAGGTGCAATGCAAGGGAAGTTGCATGCTGACGTAGAAAAGGAGCTGGATGGAAAGAAGATCTAGTCAAAGCAAAGGGAGCCCAGCTTGTGGCTTTGTTGTGCCTGTAAGCCAGCCCCGGCTCATATACTGTGCATTGCATGTAGGACTTTGGCTGGAATTGAATTGTTCATTGGAGATTCAAACGGGTGGGGCTGTTCTTTTTTCCATGAATGAAACTCATGCCATCACGATAATCCCGGCATATCCCGGCTCTGTAGGCGGAATGATGTGCATGGACCTCAGAGCAGCCAGAAGGTGCCGGTCAGCAGGAAAAACAATCGTGCTGAAGTGTTCCGAGGTAGCTTGTTGGAGATGGAATTGGATGGGCTAATGGTCAGGATCAGTGAATGGATTGGAATCGTCCTCCGAATTTCCAATTTACTCGAAGAATTCCGGCGATTCGATGGATGATGAGCTGCGTGTCAGCCTTGGTTGGTGCAGCAACAGCCACGGCGAGATGCTGCGTGGTGCGGCTTGGCTGGTTGCATGGGGATACCGCCCAGTTCCTCAAAGCCTGCACACATGGCCCTACTCATTATATTTTCTTGTCTCAAGACAACACATCCAGGAGGAACATGATGAACATCGCCTGCAAAGCCCGAAATCATTTGATGGTTAAGACATGCCACTGCGCAAGGTGACCTGTATGTGACTAGAACATTTAGAATGTCAGTCGAACGTGTTATCCTGTGGTGGAATCCATGCGGAGTCGAATGACTGTCCGCCAGCACCAGTTCGGAGCAACATCTCACAAAGGGGGTGGAGCTCGTGAGTATCCGGCGACACAGCAAACAAAGCAAACAGAGATACTAATAGCAATGGCCTCCAACCTACTAGTGACGGCCTCCAACCTACTAGCGATGGCCTCCCCTAATAGGGATGGCCTCCAACAGACTGTAAGGAGAAAAAGCAAAGGATGCGTTGATGTTGTTTGACTGGAAATGCAACATGCTGTAGTGTCATGCATCATTTTTGACTTTGAAGTCAGAGAGTATGGAGGCAGTGGTGTGTGTCTGTGTGTGTGATGTCTGACTTGTTCGGTTCCATGCGGCGGTGTAGAGAGGGCCAAGTGGGCCCAAAAGAGAAGTGGTGGTGACAGGCCTCGCGAAAAGGGCGGCTGGTGTACCAAGATGTATATATAAAGACTTGCAGCAGCGTTGGGTTTTCGCCGGTCGAGCTCCTTCGTAATTTTGTTCAAGCGTTGAAATGGACTTTACACAACAAGAAAGACCCATAGAATTGGTGTGGATTGCTTAGCCACTGAGCTACTGCCGCAGATTTCGGCTGACAGGTGTATTTCTTCCAATGCAACACAGCACTTGCGGCCAGACTTTGTCATTTGCCATGGACACTCCAGCACCTGGTGGCATTCCCGCGAGTGATGGAGCACCCGAGCTGCGAGGGCCTCAGTCTGGGTTGCTTTGCGTTCTTGTTCTTAATAGCTTCTTGTTCCTAGTAGTACGGCCAGGAGCCCCTAGTAGCGTCCTTGCTCCTAGTAGCGATGTCAGAAGCCCCTGAGTCCTCATTTTTGTTATTCTTGTCCAGGTGCAGGAACTTTGTCTACCGGGGCCGTTGTGGCTATGCCTCTTGCTGCTTTTTGCACGACGAGTCTGCGAGGTGAGTCTAGACGAAGAAACAAGAGAGCAAATATAAAGAACATGAAAGACCTGAACGTACAGAACAAGCGCAAAGACTGCCAGCATAGAAAATACACTCAGCCACACGCATCGAATGCACCGCTTCGCACTCTTTTAATGAGGCAGCAAGCCAGGGGGACACCAATGCAGCTTCCAAGCAAGTCGTTGAGAAGTAGTGGCGTTTCGTGGGCCTGGCTGATGTTGGACAGAACATACAGCCTGTTACAGCCTTAATACAGCATATTTGACCATATTGTTTTGTGTGTGAAAGTGTGCAGTGTTGTGTTTGTTGCGCATGGAGTTGACGGCAGGGATGAGACGGAGAACGCAGAGGCGCGTGAGGTCTTCACAGCACCACAAAGACGCCCCGCCAGCATTCGCTACTTGTTCGAGGGGCAGCAGCTCGGACTGTGCTTGGGCTTGTCAATAGTTTGTTTGCTACATGTTCAATGGTATAATTTGGTAATTGTATTGTTATATAATTAGAGGGTTTTTGTCTCTTTTCCACCAAGAACTGGACGTTTGGACATGTCTTTTTTTGCTTTCAAGGTATGAGGCCATGGTACGCTTTGGTAGAACAATTCATGCTAGTTTTAACTTCTAACCAATCTTGTTTAATTGGCCGTCTCCTTTTGGACTGTTGCTGGAGGTCGGTGCACAGCAACCCGTATTTGAAGGAGGTCCAGCTGATTCAAAGTTGATATTGTCCAGCCATGAATAGCATTGTGGAGCCTCTTGCTCCAGAACTGTGTTGAAAAACAATGAGCTTGTTAGCTTTTCTTCTTGGGCTGAATTTGAGGGAGCTGAAGATACCAGAACCCTCCACATGTCTACCTTACCTTTTTGTTAAACTCCTTTTTTCAGTTTGCTGGAGCACCCTGGTTGGCACGGCTTCTGGAAGCGCCGGGTGCCCGAAAGAATGAGTCGATCTGTGGATGCCATGACAAATTGACAAATCGTTTTGTAACTTTCAACTGGTCAGCCTTTAGCTGCTTTGCGCTATGTTGTTGTGTAGCAAGTGTGGCAAGAAGTCTGAAAACACCTTGGTCAGCCAACTCTGCAATACATGCATTCGCCGGGTCTGAGGCCAGAATGTGCCCGACTCTTCAATGTTCAAGGAAAGCGCCTGAGGAAGGAACTCACTGAGGACGGGACTGGTCATTTTTGATAGTTGCAGCGGGCTGTTTTATGAGATGGCCGTGCTATGTTGTGCTGCATGTGCAAGTCTAATGATTGTACAATGCGGTACAAGGGACATGCATTTCGAGCAGTGATGGGTGATGCCATGCGATGACTAGGGCAAATCTATTCTTGCTTTGGGTATGGGATGTTTGCAGCGTATGGCAAATTAGGCAAGTTGCCACAAGTTGCCCCAGTGTTGCGTGAGGATTGAACTGTCAAAACAGACTCTTAAGGGCTGTCTATGCTGTAACAGCATAGCCGCCGTACACAGGATGTAAAGCTATAAGCAAACTGTGCCTTTGTATGTGGGGGTTGGTCCTGTGCGCTCGCAGGCCTTTGGCTTGCTGCACGCTTGCAATAGAGCACTCAAGAAGTTGGCTGTAGCGCGCACAGACTGCTTGGGTTGAATTTCCTTCATTCTTTCAGGTTGTGCAAGTCTCCATTTGCTGACCTGTGTTTGACTCGGAGATTCTTGTAACTATATACTTGCGATGCAACGAGGCTGGACAGACAGTCGCCAGTCAAGGAGGCTTTTCCAGCTTCAAGCCAATACTATATATACATAAATTATCATAAATTTATACTACTTATATACCTTTTTCTCAAACACATGTCCTTTTCGATGGAGCACGCAACCACACAGAAACTAAATGGCTGCACGGCTGCACATGTTGACAAAAAGGCCTACTGCAAGAATGCCTGCAGGAAAAGGTGTCACGATCGTCGACCTTTGTTGCGGCAAGGGATTTGGTAGCCTGGTGACGTGCTCAGCTCAAAGTTAATCAAAAAGGCGGACAATAGCAGATCACTTGTGCAAGATTGGCTGCTGGCAGACCCTGTGGTGTTTTGAAAACACATTGTGGGAGAACACAGGAATAGGGACAGATCACAGGTAATCCTCCAGGTGCAAAGCTTTGAGCCTCACAATTGTCATGACATAGGTTATCATGTCGCATATTGTTTAAGTGTCGCAGCTGTACTTCAGTCACTCGTTTATGTTGCGAGCAATGCCTGACTAGAGGTCCTTGCTTGCTCTTTTCCAAGCGCAGAAGTTCTAGCGGTCGACCGCAATGCACACATGGAGCCCTAGCAGTCTTTTTGAAAGTTCTTGGTTTTGAACAATTTGATGTCGTGATGCCATCTATGCAAGAAGATCCTTCGATGAAGCAGTCAATTTCTATTCCTTGCCTGAAGGACCTTTCTCATTTCAAAGCCTGCCCAAACTTGCGGTTTCAACACCTCAACATGGTGGCGGTCTCAGGGTTGCAGTTGCTGCATCGAGTCAGATACACCCAGAGTCTTTGGATTCTTCGTTTCTTCGTGTTTCCTCCAACTCGAAGCCAAAGTGAATGACCTGCAGGGACTACGAATACCACTCTGGCTTGATGCTTTTCCTTGAGTGAACTCCGACTAACGTTTTGCTTTGTATCTTTTCTGCACTTGCTCTTAGTCACTGAGGAGTCTTCCAGCCTCGCCGCTGATTTGGCAGCATGGCTTAGCACGTTAATGCACCTCTAAATTTCCTTGTCCATCAGATAAAACTAGACCATAAGAACAGCATGCTTTTTACTAGTCCTGCAGAACTTCACACATTCCTGTTTGAATAGCTCAATACTCTATCCATTGCACAGCTATTCATTATTAATGGTTTGGTTCAATATGGCTTAATGTCGGCTTGTTTTTTTTGTCATGGTCTCATGAGTCTCATGCCCAGGTCAGCAATTAGTACCGTCCTACTTAGGAAAGCATTCTGGGCGCCAAAAAGTCTGCGTTGGCGGCTCAGCATTTCTTGGAATGACTTGGCATTGTGGGCTATTCAATGAAGATATTATACCGATTGATGGCCATGAAGACTACTCACTCAGACTATTGCTCAACATTCAATCGGGCTTCAAGGCTGGTCCTGCTTGTTGGCGTTCACCTTTGCGGAATGCTGTCTGTGCATGCTGCACGCCTCTTCAAGGAGGTGTGGTGGACCATGCAGCTGTGGCGGTATGCTCTGATGGTATGTGGTGGATCCGCACGCATGACACTTCACTTCATGGCATGCAAACACTGTTGCCTTCATTGAAGAACTCAAATCCCCTTCCTACAGACTTCCCACTGGAAGGATTGACCAGGGAGTCAGGGAGTCACCCTTCCTACGCTATATGTTTCAATATTTGAGGCGTCAGGCTTAGGCCACTTTGAGTGTTTGATTGTTCGTGGTTCTGTAGGAAAGGTGTTGGATGGGAAGTGCAGCTCGGTTTGAAGTGTTCTTGGTTTCCATGGGAGAATGGGAGACATCTTCGCATGATGAAGGTGGTTCCGCCGGCCGCTTTGGTACTGGCGCCATGCTGTTTGGACAAGCGTCTTCCAGGAGCTTCAAAGTATTTTGTACAGCATGAGGTCGAAAGTTTTGCTCACACAGTTTCTGCACTAATTTGTCCAGAATGGTGACTCATTCATTTGAAAGCATCCGCCGGTCCTCAGAGGCGTGAAGCTTCGTGCAAAGCGCCTTCAAATTGATCCGTTCACCTACTGGTGCCTCAAACTGCTGATAGAGGACCGAGGATGACTCAGACCGACTCAGACAGTTTTGGCTTCTGACGTATCTCTTTGTGTCCTCAGCGTGTGTCAGACCTGTCTTGAGTCAACTTGGACCAACCCGGTGGATGTTATCTATAGAAGAACTCTTGAAGGAAGCAGTTTGAGCAAACACATCACGGACTGCCCGAAAGGCATACTTGGCCCTTGGAAAGCTCTTGCAGTTTGATTAACTGATAGTGCTCGAGTCAGGGCGATTGTGTTGAGCACATATGCATGGTGTGAAGTCTTTGTAGATTGTTGACCTGGAGCTCATCAAAGCCGGCATTTGTGGATCCAAACAATGAACCTCCTTGTAGCAGCTCCTACAAACGGATGAATGATCAGGGACTCGCCAGAAGCATGGATGTGTGCGTTTCCAATTCACCATCGAAGGATACTTGAAGCCATGATACATGTCCCCCTGCCTCCAAGAGACTCTTAGTACATTTCAGGAGCTTCCAGATTGCCGTCCAGAGCTGAGTGCATTCTGTGTTTTTTCGATTTCTTGAAGCTTGCCAAATTGACTCCCATGCTTAGGGCGAGAGCTGCTTCAAGATGATGATGTTTTGTCAGAACGAAATTCCTTCATTCTGGGCGTCAAGGCAGAACAAGCTCAGACAGCTGTCACCTAATCTCAATTCTTACAGTGTGCTGGGTGGCTGCAATGGCGAAGAAGTGCATGGCGAAGATTACTGATCGGAGACTCCATCCTGATGCTGTGGCCTGTGCCGGACAGCACTTTTGAAGATCGTCAAGGCATGTGGTTCTTTGTATGTTTCATTGTGCACTCTTTTCTAGTCCTGGAAAAGCAGACTATATTATGATATTATACATCAAAAATTTCAGGTTTGGATCAAGGGTTTGAAGCCTTCAAATGCCTTTTGGGAGCGTTTCCATCACAGGGCTTGCCGAAGTTGCAAGGCTGCATCTTCGTACCTCTTGCAGAGACAGGACCTTGTTTGTGAGCATGAGCAAGCTGTCCAACTGAATTAGTATATAACTTATATAACTGAAACATACTGAAGCATCATATGGCACATCAATGAGGCAATTTGTATTTGCAGGACCATGAAAACTGCCGAACGGCTCCGCTGAAAAACCTGCAAAGTGACAGGGTCACCAGACAAGGTCCCTTTTTTCAGTTTTTCACATGACTTTGCTTACCAAGTCCTTGAGAAGATGCTGATTCTTGCAGCTGCAGTGGCTGCGCAGGGTATGGCGGCTTGCAGAGCCAGAATGCCAGAGGTATGGACAAGTGAAGAGTGTACAGAATTTGACGGGATGCCAGAGTTCGACATGCTAGATATGCTTGCCTTCAATGGAGCTGTGCAGGGGTGACAAAGCGCTTCCTCATGTTTCCTCTCCCGTTTTGAATTACAGTGGATTGAGAGTAGATGGCACAGACCCCAAGAGGTGGTTTATATGGACCCCTATATAAAGGACATCTTGGGGTCTGTGCCATCTACTCACATTTTTTCTGCATTTCCACGTCAATCAATGGCAGTCGCTTGCAAGAAAAGTCACCACTTGTTGAGTGGAGACTCTTTTGTCGGCAGAAGGTGGCTCAAGTTGGAATACTGTGTACGAACACATACAAACTAGATGCATTCGGCAGACCTTATCCACAGCTTGGCAATTCAAGCAACACACATTTTTGTTTTTGCTCCTGAAGAACGACTACAATTCACACCGCCTTGCAGCCGGGCCTAGCATATACTGTAATATAGCCGCTTTGCGATCACTGTAGGACCAGAATCCGATGTCAAGAAGCCGCACTTGATCACAAGCAGCGACTTGTGGGGCTTCTTGTTTCCAACCTCCAACCTCCAATACCAGTACATTGAATACCCGATCCCCGCAGGGGAGACTTATATGCCAACTGGCCAGCCTTTTTGCAATCTTTCAAGCATCCTTGTGAATGTGCGAGCTCATGCAGCCAGGCTGGCGTTGGGCCTGAGGTATTGTGGCATTGTTAAAGCTAGAATATAAATATGTTTGCCAGCTAGATGATTCACAGCTTCCTGAAAAAGAACGGAATGCCCTGAAAATCCATTGTAGAAGAGGGTCCGAGACATCCAATTCCAAACACAATAGTTTTGAGGTTTTGGACCGGAGAGACATGACGCTATATTTTATATAGAAAACTCGTCCAAACACATACATTAACCGGAACTAAACTTGCACTGTAACTTTTACTATCCAGACTACCCGGGGGAGGGGAAACCGCGTGTGGTTGTGCCAGTGCCAATTTTGATTCCCCATTTGTTTGCTCCGAATCTCTCAAACTATTCACAAACTAAGTATTTTTAAAATCATGTGTATCTTGTGAATGTTTTGAAATCATAGCAATTCCATTGGGATTTTATTTAAGTATTTCTTCTATGGTTCCTGCAATACGACAGTTTTCGCCTCAAGAAACCATCCTCAAATGTTGGATCGGGGAACGTCTACTGTATATCATGAAAGCGAGCTCAGAAGGAGCTCAGCGGAAGTTGTTGTTACGAAATATGGTGAGGCTCAAAATTGAAAGGTTCAGTGAACTAATTTATTCTTTCAATTAAAGGGAGGGGTCAGCCGAAGGGCCCCCCCCCTTTTATTGATTCTTTGAATAACCCCCTCCCCCCTCGCAAAGGAATTGATATTTCAATTAGCAGATTGAAACGTCTAGGGGGGGGCCCTCCCCCCCCCCTGTAAAGTGAATTGAAAGAGGCTATTCGACTCCTCCCCCGTCCTTGTGAGAATGAAAGTCGAGTTTTTTTTTTTTAAGTGTTCGGTTGACTCAGCCAACAACACCTTGCGCTCGTGGCACAAAAGCGTTGCGTTGCTGCCCTCCCTCCGCGTCCCCTTGATCCTTCCACACCCCTCGCTTTCGTCCCCACTGTCCTCAGTCCTCAAGTAAGATATTATCAGAATTGTTAAAGTGCTGCTTTTAATTCCGTTTTCCTATAGGAAAACTCAAAAACTGTACAATGGTGTGGTGTTGACACCTTTTTCATCACAGCTTTGCCGCGCCTTTGCCATTGCGGTGGCAATGCGCAAGTCACTAGCATGTTCATACCCCCACTGCCGAATCCGAGGGTGGGACCCACCATCAACGCGAGACCGCAGAGAGCCAGGGATACTCTTTTTTGGCCACGAGCTCACGTGAAAGTCAATACATAATCCCACAAACAAAGTGCCATGCTTGCTACTTGTAAGAGGTCTTAGACACCGCTCATATGAAAGTGAACCAACAGAAGTGTCACGTTCGCTAAGAGGTTTATATAAAGCATCGCTCATGTGAAGGTGAGGCCGTATGCCCATGAGCGAAGTGCCATGATTGCAACACACACATATAATATACGTTATTACTCCCCCACTCCGTACATGTCAACCATCATAACACAAATTCCGAAGATACAAGATACTGTTTTGCAAAACACACTGGAATCGTGGCCAACACAAATGAAACATGAGAATGATGATGAACGATGTAACGTGGCAAAGTGTCACACATTGCTGCAATTCACAGTGAGCATGAAGAAGTGCCAACTTTGATGAAATTGTAACTATGTAAAATGTTGTAATCACATGGCACCGATTATTTGTTATGTTCTATGACTTTCCAAAATGCGAACCCGACACAAATAGGATCAAATAGGCGCGTAAGGTTTTCACTCCGGTAGCAAGAATTACTACAACTACCGCTCTACTAACTCGCAAGTGACAAATTCATACTTACTGACAACATCTTATATACAACTAACCGCTGACCGTAGCAAACAGCAGCAACAGCAACAACAACACCTGCTGCTGCTGCTGCTGCTGCTGAGGAAGAACATGTTTCCTTTCTTACTGGCTCTTATAACATCTATATGGATCAGCCGCCAGCTGCATCGAATTAAGACGCTTTCGCGTGGCCAGTGTGAGAGGGCCATATCACCCTTGTTGAACTTTATAGTAATTATTGACTAAACAGCTTTGAAGGGATGAAATTTCACAGTGTGAGGTGACTTAAGTGTCTTGCAGGATTCTAAGGAAAAGGTTGTTCAATTATATAGAACCTTCAAGAAGAAACACTTTGGTCCTACTTGTAGTGGTGTAGTCCTACAGTAGTACTCCTACTCGGTGTTCGACCATGGTAAAGCTGACAAGTGAGCGTTTCCGTACATTTCACCAGCCTGACTGTTCCTGAGTGACAGTGCCTTGTGTTGGTCTAAACAAAATCCTCCACAGTACCTACCGATCACAGCTTCACCAACTCTACTCGTGACCAGCAATTGGCTTCTTGTAGCATCGAGCCATGAAAAGGACCCCCCGTACTGCATGAGGTCGAAACTATGTCGCTGAGACTGCTGCAGAAGGCAGCATTTTGAAGTAACTTGTTTTTTGTTTGATTTCATTCTATGTCATTTCAGTTGTCAATTTCATTTGAACCAGTGGCCTGAGTGTTGCAATCCCACGCAGTGAATTTGGCTGTGTGGAGGCAACCAGCGATGTCTTAGCCTCGGAGATGAAGAACGTTACCTTGTAACCTGGTACCTTCTGCATGCTTAGTTCAAATTCATATACAGTATTATATATATGTGTATTCTCGTCCCCCCAAGAATCTACTAAAGTCTACTACTAGCTGCTGTCTATCCCTTTCTTACTACTAGTGCTCATGCTGCTGCTACTGCTACTGCTCCTGCTGCGACTGCGACTGATACCACTTACCCACTGCTTACATGCCAACTACTCACTTGTACCTACCACTTACCTACCTTTTGCCTACCGACCCTACCCTAACTGACTCACCCCGCCTACCATTGGCTATAGATCCCCCCAAGAACAAGTCTATTTTGTTATGGTTTAAAGCTGATTGCCTTTATGTGCGTTGATTCATTGGCCTTAAAGTTGTTTCTTTGAGGCTCCAAAAGGCAAAGGCAAGGCAAAGGGTGGGCGCCGGCAATCGATGAGCCTGCAGCAATTCCATCAGTTGGCACCTTGGAGTGTGCTGCACAGCGGCATTTTTTGAAAATCAGGTATCGTGTTGTTTATGTTTTTTTCCCTGAGCATGGTCTTCAATAATTGATAATAATTGATTTTGCAGCCTGCCAACGCGCAACCCATGGGGTCTCGCAGATTGTGTACCAGTGTACCCAATCTCATCGCTGACAATGACATCAACTTTGGTCTTTTCACAGCTGATGCCGACTAAGAAACTCACTCGTTAGTGTGCAAAACAGGACTGGTAGGAATGGTATTCACTTGGCACAGAGGCAGACTCCGGCAGAGACAGTGAGCCACAGACCAGCCTGGGGCAAAGGCGTTGATTGTTCCTTTTCCATGAAGTGTGTCGAGAAATGACAATTGTAACCTTGAACACGTGCAGGTGTCTCTATGCGGACTTCTACATGGGCAGCAGAGGACATGAATGCTCAAGGTTTCTTCCTTTTCCTATTTCTCAACATGCACATGAATCATTGTGAAATGATTTGTTTTTGCGCTCGAAAGCCGTGGGAGAAGTCACCACCTGCAGGAATTCACCTTGTGCTTGCTTGCTTGTTTGTTTGTTTGAACATGGAGGTAGTTTGGAAGTTGTTTGTGGAAGAAGAGGGTTCTGAAGCCAAAACCACTGCCCCTGTGAGAGAAAAAGAGAGGGAGAGAGAGAGAGAGAGACAAAACGACAAGGGAGACTGGGACGGAAAGAGACAGAGAGGGAGAGACTTGATTAAAGATGATTAGAGTTGCTTTGTTCGATTATGTAGATCCTTTCTATTAGAGCGTTCGGTCAACTGTTCAGGATCCGACGCCCACAGGTGCAAGACATTTTCAGTCAGCAGGCTCCAGGGAAATTTTAATTTCGACTATATTTGACAGTAGTCCATACCACTGCATCCTACGACTCCATGACTTGGCACAGCTTTTGAATGCTTTGGTGTTCTTTGCCTGGACGAGTAAGATAATTTGGTGCCCGCCGTTTCTTCAATAGAATAGGCTTGATCCAAAGAACGCACGACATAACTTACATAACAAACAGAAAATACTTCGAGTGACTACAAACCTTTCTCAGAGGGAGGACATCTCACTGATAGAAGTGCTTTTGGTTTGGAGGCTCCCAGGCGAGAACAACGTCTTCTGCATGGGTTAGAGGTCTGGCCCTTGGAGGATCAGAATGACCTCAGAGTCTTAGAGGTCTGACCATTCGCGAGTATTTATTAGCTCCATTTCAAGCTTTGGCTACTTTTACAGCTGTCTATGTTGGAGGCCCACCCTCTTCGGCTATAGACACCTTGTGGGACGCAGCACCAATGGTTGAAGAGTTGTCCGAGGACCAGATAATCATTGTGGACCATGACTCAAGAGATAAAGTGTCATGAGTCATCGTGAGAATCAGAGGTCATCGAGCTTGACTACGTATTTGCATTTAGGCCACCAGGATCCACCGGGTGCATATAATAACTGTTGTATGCATTCAGCTGGACCGGACAAAGGCAGAGGTACAGAGTTCGAGGAACTTTGGCCCTGAGTCCATATCCTAGAGGTCAGAGGTTGAGAACAAGGGTGAAGCCAGCGCCGCCGTCGGTAAGGTGAAGTTCATGCAAACCTAGCCAAATGTATTCATGTTCATGTTCATGCAGCTGTGCAAATTAGTAGGTACACAGAAGTGATCAGCTTCCGCTTCCACTGTTGGCAGAGCTTTGCATGTTCCCCCTGAATTGAACTCCGGAAATGAGAAGCTGCTTGTTGCAGCATTTTTTTAGCATTTTGACGGAACATCAACGGTATATAGTCTATATAATTTAATTATAATTTGTATATATATATATATGTTGGTTTTTGTGTGCACTTCGTTCATAGACAGGATGTTTGGCAAACTCCGGGTGCTGCTGAAGCACCACCTTGGGAGGAACTTAGTGCTTCCCTCAGATCAGCATCCAGCTGTTCTGGGCTTCCAATCACAATGTTTTCCCATGTTCCGCAGAGCAGACCGGTCGTGAGTCAGAATCATGGCTCTTAGACAAAGAAGCCGTTCAAAGCAAGATGACAGATAGCAATAAACCTGATTGCAGATATTTGCGTTTTCTGGGTTTGCCCGGACTGCAGGTGCAGAGGTTGCAGGAGCATAGCCAGCAATCTAATTAGGAAGATATACCTGTACTGCCGCAGGTTGGCTCCGCAAAGCTAAAGTGATGCAGAAAAATCTGGCAACGTGATTGAACATCTCTTGCCTAATCTCATTATTCACCCTCTACAACACGTGATTAAGTGCCGCTAAGGTAAGTGATCATAGTGATCTTGCAACCAAATCTTGAAGCGGTGTTTGGGCGCCCATTGTTACTGGTAGCTTCTTGTTACTCGTAGTAAGGCCAGGAGCTACTAGCGTCCTTGCTCCTAGTAGCGTCCTCTTGTTACTAGTAGCTCTCTTTGCGTGGCTTGCGGTGTTGGGGCGCCGTCCCAGGACAACAAGAACCTGTGGGAGTCTTGGAAGAGGCGGGATTGGTGTTCTTTGAGTTGCTCCATGTTTTGATTTCATTCCCTCGCCAGGCTGATGCAACAGTGTTTGCAGCTGAAACTTCACAGCCGCCAGAAACAATGTCGAAGGATGCGACTCAGATGGATGCAGAAGAGACTGCCGCTCAAAAGGACGCAGAAGCTGGTGATGAGGAGAAGAAAAAACGAACACCATGGAAATGGAAGATCCATGTAAATCCTGCAATTTTGTTTTATCAATTATTTCTTGAAGGTGTGTCCACACTGTTCTTCCAACTAGGAAATATGTCATGTATAGTCCAAAACGACTATAATTTGGTGTGAAAGAAAGGGACCAAGTCTGACCAAGTAATATCAAGTATTATGTGGATAGTTGTGGATAGTGTACAATTTATGACATGAGGCGCATGAGATAGAACGTGTTATAATGCACGTGTCTGGTGTTTGGCTCCATCGTTGCAGGATGGGCTTTGGCTAGACATCCGGGCCTGGTTGAAGCACTTGAACCTTTTGGAACATCAGGAGGCTGCTGAAGTTGACTCGTTTGACTTTGACAGCAGGAGTTGGGGTTGACGAAAACTGAACTATTATCACAAATCACATACAATCACTCTAATTAGACGCCCTGAAGCTGCATACAGAGATCAACCAGATTGGTTTGGTGTCAGGCGAACACTTGTTGCATAAAATCATGCGGCATTACAGCGTGAGTGCTCGGTGAAGAACTAGGGCCAGTACTCCGATTGTTTCAATTTTCTTTCAAATGTCGCAAGTGAGTCAACGGCTCTCATTGCCACGAAGGGCCAAGGGGGTCCGGAGTCAGGCCATCTATTCCTGGTGTGAAGTAATGGGAGCAGCGTCTTTGGAAGAGGCTCATGTGGTGAGGGAGGTAGGAAATTGGCACGGGGGTAATTACATAAAAAGAGGATTAAACGTTTAAGTTAAGGAGCTTTGTTGTGGGCCATACCAGGCAGTCCTAGTCCTAAGCCTGCTGTTTCTGGGTTTTGTATCTCCATGCTGCGGCAAGCATGACGCTTTTTCTTCAATGTTTTGCGTCTATTGAACTGTGTTTGCAAGTCAAGGCGGAATGCCTATCAATTCAAGACAATTCAACCCCTTTTGGCTGAGCAGCATTGGTTGTCAGGCCGCGAGCATGGGACATTCACACGCTGGTCATTCTCCCTCAAAACGTGCGTTGTTTCGGCCGGAGTGAAGCAAACTCAAGGACTCTAGCCACACAGAGTAAACGGGCCAGGGTTGCTCCAAATAGGCTGACCTTTGTTTCCAAGAGTTCTATAATAGAGTTGTTACTTCCGGAACGATACAACAATCCCTGCTAAATAACATGCACACGATTTGCCTCAGATTCGCGTAGAAAGCGCAATGTCAACGCTAGCAAAAACACAAGATAACAAGACTGGGTGACAAGAAGGCTTTGAAAGAACAACACTGTTCCGTGACATGACAACCCCTTACCATCACGATCAAGAGCGCATTGAATGCACGTTTGCAAGAGTAGTAAGGTCCACCCACCTATCAGCAGGTCATCGAGTGCATCGATGACTTGCTTGAAGCTGTGCCCATGAAGGCTTTGCAGGCCAGATTGTTGACCTTACAGCATTTCAAAAGTCATAAAACAAAAGTGAAAAACACCGCCATTGTCCAACGCTTCTTGGTCCTTGTTTGCTTATTTTCGAAGCCGCTTTCGATATTGTAACAAATTTATCATTCAGACACCATCCATTTGCTTCAAAGGCTCAACAATAATTTGCTTGATAGGCCAGGGCTGCATTCTCCAAAAACCTCCGTACTCGAGGATGTCCCAAATTGATCCAACAAATTTGGACTAGATATGACTTTATATGCACATATTCTTGGAACGAGATGATTAAATATCCCCAAGAACCTGTCCTGTCTCCTCCACAGTGTCGGCCAATTTGTGTTTCAAATCCTCTCAGATGCTCCAATTCTACTTATGGGCAAGAGTAGTGTGAGAGAACCACAGAAAGACATGCATTTCGACACGTGAGAGAGGTTCCATTGTTTTGCCAGGCAAAGCGTTTGCAAAGCAAAGCACAGGAATCCTTGGAAGTTGTGCGAGCGGAAGAGGCGACACACACACATGCAAAAATGAATGACTCCTGGGTGTCCGGAGGCACCAGTCACGACTGAAGACTTATCACGAACATGTCAATAATGGAGCTGCATGGATCACTTGTACACACAATGAAGACTCACAGTTAACTCCTCAACTTGCTAACAGCGCTGGATGGGCTGACTCAAAAAGTTGCTTATGCCGAAGGCCGACGGTCCCAAGAGATCGAACTTGAAATGAACCGTGCAACGTGCAGCCCTTCAGGCTGAAGGCGCAGGTGGAGGAACATCCGAGGCATGTAGCAACTTCAACGCCCAAGAAATACACAGAAGATTGGAAGCGTGGGAGTCAGAACTTTCAGATTCGAAGAAGCTACTAGTAACAAGGGCATCACTACTTGTAACAAGGGCATTACTACTAGTAGCAAGAAGCTACTAGTAACAAGGGAGTTGGACCTTGCTCTTCCAGCCTTTCGAAGGCTATACCCGAAAGTTCAGGAGGCGCTGGCTGGAAACTAAGTGTGGAAAGAGGCACTGGCTGTGTTGTTTGCTCAAGTCCAAGTTTCATTGGTCCACGGTCAATGCACGTGGCTTTGGTGCAAAGGGTCTTCAATAAAGAAGTGAGGTCATTGTCCTGCATTCTGCATCATTCTGCTGGACTTGTTATATATAACACTATATATGGAGGAACTAGACAATCTTTTCTTTCCAGATGGTGTCCATTGACCTAGCATGTCTTTGGATATGAACAACATGCATTAAGGAACAAATGGCACCAGCCACCATGCTGATGATGCCAGTGGCTCAATTTGGGCAGAAGTCTTGTTTGTAATGGATCAACAGCTTGAGTCTTGTCCTAAGGCTCCTCCCAAATCTTCTGGAGCAGCCAGGGTGACTTGACTTCACTCTCCCACAGCTATGTCACTTCCATCAAGGTTCCTTTTGGTTTTCCTCCAATGCAGAGCGATACCGGGTACCCGGTATCGCAAGTACGCATGCCCATCCGAAATGTGAAGTTGTTTTCAGATGTTTTCCTTTGCCACGCCACAGTCACAACGGCACTTCATGTTTGAGTCACATTGAGGTTCAAAGCTTCTACAAAAGCTTAGCAACATTGGTTATGCTGCCACTGTTTGGGATTCCCAACCATCTAAGATAATGATTCTGATTCTAGAAAAGAGCTGCATGCCTCGAATCTTAGAAGTTGTTGACAGGGTGTGAGGTGTGACACAAAATTTCTACGGAGGGATAACGAAGAACTTTGTGAGGGGGCCACGAGTGGCCAGATTTCAGAGCAGTTGGGCCAGGATGATGAGAGCCCTTACTTGAAGCAGAGACCGACTGAGAAAGCCACATGGGCTCGGTGGCCCAAAAGGGTAGATCATGTTGCAAGATGTCTAAACCTCGTACATTGCATGCTATAGACAATATATTATACTGTATGTGGGCCAGGCCAGTGCTATTACAAGTGACTTATTGAAGCAGACATGACCTGGTAAACCCTTTGTTTTCTGAAACTGCAACTATTTACTGTACTGTATTCCAACTATTCCAACAAAGTTTCCTGTGTTTCTGAGGTGCCTACAGTCAAAGCTGCTTCGCAAGGTTGGAGCGACATTACCAATAGAGTAGATTCCTTTGCGAATGTTCTAGCGGCTAGCATACTGAAGGCATTGACAGGGAACATTTCCCCAAAGACGATGTGCTCCCTCTTCCAGCCATGCTGCCTGCCAGGAGGGCGCAAACGTCAACAGAAGGAGCGATCCAAAGGGGTCGAGCAGGCTGCACAGATGGTTTTAGTTAAAACCATACCCTTGTTACTCGTAGCGATGGCCTCCAACCTACTTGCGATGGCCTCCACCAAATTCCGTCCTAATACGCATTGGTGCTCCGACATGTCACCAGATTTGTTAGTAAGTAAGTCCCGTTGGGTCACCATGAAGCCTACAATCGAAGGCAAACTTGACCTCCAAAGCTTTGGGCCTTTGGGTTCTTTTGGGTGCTGTGAGGCCAAGTCCACTGAAGACTTGGAAGAACAGCGGAAGCGCGAAGAGGCACAACGGCTTCTGGAACAGCAGCTTCGAGAGGCAAGCGGCGACGAGGAAATAGCAGCGAAATATCATGGAATCATATATTATAAAGTTTTGTATAATAAGAAATTGAACAATTCATAACAATCCTAAACATTTGAGTTAGAAGATATTTGCAAGACCGACCAATGTGTTTTGAAGCACACCATTCTACCAGAGAACAGCTAAGTGGGAATGGATGTCAATACTCAAACACGCTTTGAGTTCTCATGACTCTGCTGCGTCTTCGCGTGTGCATTCTTTAATATAAAGCTTCGGATGGTTCAGGAGCAGGAGAAGAAGCTGGCAGACGCTAGAGAACTTATCGCTTCAATCTCGGATGTGCACGTAAGAAGATTCTTAATGGTCCTGAAAGCATGGAATAAATCTGTCATGAAATGTACATACTGGCTCCAAAATGATGCGGTTGTGGCAAATCTGAATAGCCATCACTGAAAGCGGGCGACAGCTCTTAGGTAGCTGCGTTGGAGCGCCACGATTCTCAGGCGCTTGTCCATCGTGTGAGAAAATCGGTCCGGAATTGAGAAAATAGCTCCTAGTATCTTCTTGTTCCTAGTAGTAAGGCCAGGAGCCCCTAGTAGCGTCCTTGCTCCTAGTAGCGATGCCCTTTGCTCCTAGTAGCGTCCTCTACTCCATCGCATGAATCCATGTGGCCTATGTCGTAGAAGACCGACGTACAGAATTTGGACTTGGCGTGCATGAGGGTTGGCTGTGGCTTCTATTGTTGTGGAACAGACTGCAAGATTGTAGGCGTTTTCCTCTGCAGTGGCGAATGCCAAGGAGGCAGATTCTCTGGAAGGATTTGAGCGTTATAAGTAAGTTATAAATAAGATGGAATGAAGAAAGGACACCTGCACTTGAGTCAGTAATTAAAGATGGGCGAAGGAGGTGGCTAATATGTGACTATACAACGGATTGTTCGGCATCGTCTTCGGGACCAATTCCTTGAGGTTGGCCTGCCTGCAGCCTGGGAGCCAGGTGGTGAAAAATAGGACAGGAGGGCGACGCTGCAGGACACATGTAGCAATCGCAAGTGGCGAGCAGCAACAAGTGTGCAAATCGCAGTGGCGTAAAGTGCGGAACAATTAGTGTAGATGTTGGTTAGGCAGGACTCGGCAAGACCATCCAAGATTCCACTCCAAGGCTGAAGTGAAAGAGGCAGAGCAGCAGCTGAACTTGGCACTTCAAAGGAGAGGCTTTGGAGCTTGTTTCCGCTTCGCTACAGCCATACTTGTCAGTTTGATCTGCACAGACTGAGAGGAGGCCATCACGTCAGTTGGATTTTCGTAGAACATCTAGGAACCAAATGAATATATAGTGCGAACATGAGCTATCCTGCGTCCAGTAGGTAGTAGCTACAGATTACTTAGTAAGCCAAGGCTAGTAACGGCGGCTAGTACTTAATTGAGCAAGGGTGAGGGCAACGGGCCCTTAAAAAGGAGAAGTTGAGTCCGGTTGACATGGCCTTTATCCTGAGTTGTGGGCCGAGGAGGCTTCAGAAGCGAAACGATGCTTTGTGTGCTCTCCAAGCCATGCTGGAAGCTCCAAAGGCTCCAAAGGGCCAGGGTGCTGTTCTCTTGCCTTGGCATGAACTTTTTCTACGTACTACGTACAATTAACATACTGTAATATATTATATAATACTTCCTCTTGTGCAAAAAGAGTTTTGCGAGGGTGTGTTTGATCTACCAGGCTTGTTAAAGTTGCTCAACATGTTGCCTGCAAACTTTGGTTCGCGGTGCAAGGACGAGCGCTTTGGGCCTGCAGTTCGCAACGCATTTGAAGAGGCCCCAACAGAGGGATCGAGGGATGGCTGTGCTGACTCTGACCGGCCGGGATGAATTGACAGTGCACAGCGCTGTACTACTCCAGGGTAACGGGCAAGTTTGTTGTATTTGGATGATTTGGTGAGACTCACGCTCTGCAGCATTCTGGCCAGCCACACTTCACGTGACTTCGGTCGAGGCACAGGCAGAGGGCGCAATCGAGCACCTGCCCGGAGCCGCAGCACTCTGGATTCCCAATTCTATTGCTTGTAAGTCTGTCTCTTTGTCCGTCTGTCAGTCTGAGCACGGTGCTTTGCCTTTGAAAACCTCATGTAAAATCATGTCTGCATTTTAGCTGCAGGATATAACAAGATAGGTAAAAACTATAATAGAAATGCCAAGTGCAAGTGGATCTCGAGTGGATTTGGTCGATTGCGTTTAAGGCTTGGTGGAGCTGCAGCTGAGTTGGCTACAAGAAAGGCTCTACAGGTGTGACTTCAGTGACTTAAAGACTTAACGATGTTCGTTAATGCTTGTAGCCTTTGGAGGCAAAGCCAGGTGGATTTGGTTGATCCTGGCCAGGAGTGGGAGCTGGCCGAGCAACAGAGGGAAGACTCCCGGATGGCTTTGCAGCCGAACTCTTAAAAGGTTTGAACTCTCCAAAGATTCTAAAGATGGCTTCGCACAAAAACATCAAAAGCACGTCGCGGCAATTCACCCACGCTTTGGCCGAAAAGAGATGAAACAGATACATGAGATGAGATGAGATGTTTCATAATTTTGCGAATTTCAAATGACCTATGGCCTGAGAAAGCTTCAACGCCCGAAACAATGCTTCCTGAACAAGATACTGTGAGAACTTGAGAAAATCTGGTATTCTGTCACATCAGGCTCAAGTGCATTGCACATCTTCATGGGTCCTCCGACTTGTCAATACTGCATTCAATTTGCAATCAGCGTGCGTTCTTTTGCTCAGGTTTGCTTTGCGGCAAAGCCAAGTGGAAACTCTGCAGGTTTGGCACAAAGTGCAGTAGAACATTGAGTGGGCGGGCTTATATAGAGGTGTTACTTGTAGTTGCTGTAGCAAGTTGCCGTATGATGCCGTATGTTGCTGTTTCAGGAGGTCGCAGGTGCGCCTTCACAACAGTTTGAGCTAGGAGCAAGGACGCTACTAGGGGCTCCTGGCCTTATTACTAGGAACAAGGACGCTACTAGGAGCAAAGGGCATCGCTACTAGGGGCTCCTTCAGCACTTTTGCCCTTGAGACAGGTTGCGTTGAGCGAAGCGAAGAAGGCAGGCCTGGCAGACGACTGCGGCCTCATGGCCGAGGCTCGCATGGCGTATTCGCCACATTCAGCCTGCAAGAAGACGGGAGCTGCACATGAGATGAAACAAAACAATCCATAAAATTTATGAGTATGAGGTGAAGCTAGATGAAGCTGCGGACACTTTTTGGCTAGCTATTTGGTGCGATTCTTTTTTGCAAACCTTCCGGCACTTCCGGCCATAGTTTTCTCGTGGGTGGAGGTGTTGGCAAAAGGCTCACCGAAATCATTCCTGTTGGTTCTTAGTTGCAGTATTTCTTTTCGATCATGTTGCATCAAGCTCGAGTGCCAGGCAGCAACGCTGTTGCAGGCAGCTTGCAGGGTCAGTGTATGTTTTCTTTGTTACTGGTAGCGCAGCAGCACTAGACTAACTTTAGACACAGTGATCCTGAGTCTTGAGAACCACTGTCCCCGCAGTTCATTTGGCTCTGACTCAGAAAGGACTGTCAGTCTTTTCCGGTCTTATGGTGTGATGAATGTCGCTCCGCAAACCTTTGGGAATGGTGGAGGCTCTCAGGCGTCTACTGCTCTAAAAGTGTTCTAATGTTTTCTTTTTCTGTTTTGCCAACAGGTGTTTACCCTGGTTCAAAGAGTCACTGTCAGCGCCACGACTTCAGGATCTAGATGCCGATGAAAGAACCAGTACGTTGCAGGCTCCTTCATTCTGTTTTTGAAAGTCAAGAGTTAAGATGTTGCACTGGCAAGCGGACGTTTTTCCATCAATCGACCTCATGCGCATTTCATATCATTGAGCACCGCCAGTCAATATTGAAAACAGACTTCTGTGACCACAAACTAGTCGGCGTACTTGTACTTCGAATCATATCCAGGGGCTTGGCGGCAACAATCATTATACCAGCATAGACCCCGAACAGCTTAGTCGGCAAGAAATATTGTTGTCGTGGGCAGACGCAAACAGCACGACAGCAGCAGGACAACAGAAAGACCAGAGGAGAACATAAGGAGGACAACAGAGGACGACAAGATGAGGGAAGGCAAACAACACGAACACACCAAGAGGACAAAAGAAGGACAAGCTGTGACCGGACAACGCCAAAAAGACAACAGGGGAGCATGCCAAGAGGAGAACAAGAGGAGAAGAGGAAGAGAAGACAAGAGCAAGACAAAACGATGATGGGAGGAGTACGACCGGAGATATGCTCGGCCAGCCGCTGTGGCCAGCTCGTTTTTCTCGAGAACCCCAACAGTAAACTGGGGAAAACTGTCAAGTGAGACCTCAGCCACCGCGAATCCCCTGGTAGGTCGAGAGTGGAGATGGCAATTTTCGGCTGGTCCTCTTCGCATTTACCGCTCTCCTTCTGACTGGAGTGATCTACTTGAAAGACTCTCAAATTTGAACAGAGAGTTCAGACTTGTGAATGCCTGGTAGTGTAGGGATGGATTCGGGTTTCTTTGTGCTTTGCAAACGCTCTACCATCAACTTACAAGGTCTTACATGCATATTCGAGCATTACTCAACCAGAAACATGCCAACTTAGATCCCCGTTTGGCTCAAATAACTCAGCATGTTTTTTGTTTTCTGATACCAGCTTCAGTGACCTGAGGTGGACAGGCCAAGACATAGCACTTCTTTGTTGCAGAGCAACCCCTTACAGAGCATGACGGCCACTTGAATGAAAACTTTGCTTTTGTTGGCTGCAATATGCAAAGGTGTTTTTATCATCCTTTCCGTAGCAACAGCTAGAATGCACATTGCGTGCTGTTCTGCTAGTTGGACCCCACATGAACATTCAGCAAAACCTCCCATGACTCGACATGGCACGAAGAGTCTATTTCAAATAAAGGTTTGGCGTAAACAAACCTGTTGTGTGCGTAAGATACATTTGATCATTTTTATTGCGGAAGGTTTAACTACTGCATCCACACAATGCAAATCATGAGGGTCCAGCGTAAGCATTGACAGTAGGACCTAGGAGACGTCTGACCAACACGCCATTTAAACATGCGTAAGGCTGGCGAATGTTGTTTTTTTTGTAGAGGCCTGAGAATGGTGTAAGAAAATCATGTGGTCGCGCAAGAAAAAACATGTGTAGGCAAGTTGTGCAGTAGTTGTACGACACGGTGCTTTAAACATACGATTCTTGAGAAACTCACATGTGTCACATGTGCCCCATGTTCTTGAGGAGATTCCAGCCAAACATCTACGTGAGCTGGATGAAGACCTGGACAAGTTGCGCCAATTCAATGATGAGGCCTTTCACAAGTTTGCTCCTGTGTTACTTGGCCTGCATAAAGTTGGATGGTGTTCCCAGTGATCATGCTGGGCGTGTCGTGCAATTGACCACATTATCCATTTCTCGCTTAATTATGTAATTTCATACGGAAATATATAGAACCGTAATTCAAACCCATGTTCTGCCTGCGTAAAACGAAGCTGCATCCTGAATGTATTTGTTGTGTGCTGCTCATTTAGCTTACTCATCCTTCACTTACTGTATGTACTCTGTCATTGCTGTCATTGCTTGCACTTCTTGTTTGAGCAGGATCCCCTTCGAGCCTTTTCCATCGGACGTCTTCTTGGTGGGCGTTATGGGAAGCGGTATCACCTTGTTGACGCAGATCGCTCACGGCCTTCGATCTAATGCCAGCATGGATTTTGAGGAGCAAAGCAATACCTCAACTGCCCATTCCCAGCACCTTACTTTACGACCAAATGTACTAGACTAAACAGAGTCTTAACGTTTCTGATGGATATGTTCGGTGTAGTGCGAGAAGGCAACAGCATGTTTGCCCACGAAGGCAAATCTCACACTTTATGCGTGAAGGCATACTAGCGTTCTCTCATAGGCTCTAAAATTTTGCTCAATTGGTTTGGCAAAGGCAATGTACATACATAGGCAACCATATCTTTGTGCATTGTGGATTTCAAGAAGTTGTGTAGGTGTTTTGCGAAGGTTTCCCTTCGCGTAGACTTGCAAAGGCCACCGGGAAAATATGCTTCTAGGATCTTCTAGGGTCTTATAGAGTATTGGCTGCGTAGTCCACAAAAGAGCAGTTCACTTGAGATGCTCCAGACAGAGATGTGCAGAACATGCGTGGAGGACATCAATGAGGTCGTGCCCTGGTTTCATGCAGCTCTTCTTTGCGGTCAAGATGTGGATGAACCTCAAAAGTTTAATCCGCGTTTGTACAAGACGCACCAGCTGCATTTTGGCAGAATCCGAGTTTACCACACTGGGAAGACGCTGGCGCTTGTGCATCCTAAGCCTAAGCACCCACTTTGATGCAAATGCATTTGTGTGACGTGAGGTACGAAAAGCTCCCTGAAGAAGCAAAGTTCATCGTGCTCTTCAGAGACCCCGAAGATATTTTTTTGACACGCTACCGCCGCTACTGCAACAGCAGCTGGACGGAATATGCCAGAGTGCCTCGTGAAAAGATCACACTGGAGCTTTTTGCAGCAGGGATGTTTGCTAACATGCACTCTGGCAATGAGGCCGTGGGGAGTGTACTGACAGCGGTACCGACTTGGTCCATGAGTTTGGCATGAATCACGCATGGTTTACATACTAATATGTATATAAAAAATATATATATATATCTATACAATGCTTGTATTTATCATTTTGGCCTTGCAATTCATCAAGCACATGTGTGACCGCCACGGTTGATTTGCATGTTCCTTCTGCCCTGAAGGTGTGGCAGTTCATGAGATCCTGGTTGCTGTGTTGCATGGGACAGGACCGCGTGTCAGCACCCTAGAGCCCTAGAACAATCAGGAATCAGCGCATATAGCAAACACTGCTACTGTCCTTTTTCCTGACGCATGAATTGCTGTATTCCAGGTTGTTCTTGACCTATGAAGATTTGCAGCAGCAGCCTGAAGCGGAAATTCGCAGGAAGGGGTCCGAAACTACTAGTAGCAAAAGATGTCCCGATTGTTGCTGTTCCGTTCCGTGCTTTCCCCATCGAGAAAACCCACTTGCATCATTTGCATGAGGATTCGTTTGATACCGGTTTTTCTACTCTAACTATTTGCTGATTGTTGAGTTTGCCTTGGAATTGTGACCATGAGTGCAGGACAATTGCAAAGGAACATATAATTACTGGAAGAATGCACCTTCTCAGTTTCCATGGTTTCTGAATTGACATGGCAGGATTGCGCACTTTATCTTACCACATCGCCAGATCTCCGAAGATCTCCTGAATCGGGTGAAAGCGCAGTCCACCCGACAATTCATGCAGGCACTCGGCACCATACCAGCAAATGGCAAGGCAAGAACTTGCCTTTATCCGGTTTGTCCACTCAGACATTCTATACCGAGCTCAGATCTATTTATCCAGTCTTCGCTCACTCGGTTGGTTACTCTTACGGAAAGTAGTATATTGCGACAAATTCCTGGCTAGGAACATCTTTCCAAGTTTGATGACCACTTTGTGCTGAAGCACTTGCCTCCGTTCAAGCAGGACATAGTTGGTCATGAGATGTCATGAGTTGCATCCGAAGAGTTGTTCCTGCTTCCATGCTCGCCCTCAATCAGCAGGACGTCAAAGCATACGGCCGAACTCCAAGGATCCCGAAGGTTATGACAGAGATCAGCCGCCAGGACTGCAGGGCATAGAAAGTAGTTCTTGTGCAAGCTACGCAAGCAATACAATGCTAGAATAGAGTTCTTGAGAAGATATAGACTTACTTAAATATGAAGGGCCATGGGGCAGTCCTGTGAAACTAGTGACCTATTGCAGGGAGCTTGGCTTGAGCATCGGTTGTTCCTGGCAATTTGTTCGGTGTGAACAGGAGCTGCCCAAGTCAATTCAAGATCTCTTCCAGCATCGATGGAGGGGTTTCTTGGAGACAGAATTTGCTTCCTATCGAGAGCTGAGGCAGGCGCCAGTAAGACCGACTTGGAGAAATGAAAGAAGTGCAAGAATTTTCGACGGTGGCCATCGGTGGCCCTTCTGTGGAGTTTCTCGAGCTAACTTTATAGTATGCATCATCATGCATCATCCACACTAACCATTTGCCAAAACAATTTTAATTCTTCAGCAGATTGCAGGGCCTTGGCTTTTCTTGGTTTGGAAAAGTGCCGATCAAGCGTGTCTCATCTCATGGAGATTTGCACATGCAGGTCTTGGCTGAACAATGATGATGCAAAGTATTCGTGGCGTGGCGGAGTTCAGATAGGGCCAGAGGTTTTTGTGTGTTTTCGATTGTTTGCAAGCATTGCGGGAGCAACCCAAAATCGCCTTGACATGCTGAGGGTAAAACATCATACCGCGGAGGCGACTTGGTATACCGAAGAAAAGCATGCATGTGGCACTGTTGCACAGGTCTTCAACTTGAAGGTAATGCAATCAAGTCAGTCAGAGTTCTGTTACCATCAGACATGCTATGGACAGGTGAGGTGGATGAAAGGCGCGATATTGGTTCTTGAGATTTGGAATTCGTGCTTGGTTAAATAGACCAACATCGCCGGAGAACCTTGGAGGTATCCTGACATTGCTTGCGGCAACTTGTGTGTTAGCGCCTTGACTGCACCACACTAGGGCTTGCCTTGTTTTGTTGCTGTTGTTGTTTTTTTTTTTGTTGTTTTTTTCTTAAACGCGTAGCCAAGGGTTTCCGTTTGTCTCTGGGAATCTGGGGTAGAGCCGTGTTTGTGTGACGTTGGCTTCGCGTTCGCACCGTCCGAATGTGATTGATGAGGCCCTGCCATTGGGGAATGGTTTTGGAGGTTTTAGATGGAAGCCTGAAGCGTAGATTCGTGCGAAATAGCGTAGAAACGTAACATGTGGAAGTGTGGAGGATGATTTTGCTGCGCAGGTGCAGCGTTTAGTGAGATCCTCAGTTTCCTTCGCTGTGCCATTGGGATTGGCGTTTCAGGCTGTTGCCTCAAAGCTGTGTTTTTGTGACAGGTCTCAGCTAAAGCCGTGATTTTGGTGGAAGAGAGTGTGCTCAGAAAGCGCCGAAGTCAGTCCAAACGTGTGGCTTGCTCAAGACGTCAAGATGTGAGGTAGTGGTGCCTCGTGTCAGGCGCAGTGCGTTGTGCATGTTGGAGGTGTGGAAGTTGAACTTTCGTGCCACCTGCAGGGAACTGTGAGACTTCCCTCTTCACTTTTCGCGAAAGTCTCGTACGAAGTGCTCCTTTTCGAGGCTTGACGTGTAATTTTTGGAGGGAGTCTGAGTCTCGTTTGAAACGCTCATTCTGGAGACTTGATGCGTGAGTTTTGGAGGACATCTCGTGTGAAGCGTTCGGCTTGGAGACTTGACGCATTTGCTTTTATGAAGCAAGAGTGTCCCACGGAGTGTCCGACGATAGTGTTCCACGACTGTCCGGCTTACAAGCCGCACAAGAGTTTGCCACAAGTGTGTCGCCGAAGAGGGTCTCCTACAAGAGCGCCCTAGAACGGCGTCGCGCAAGCTTTTCCAGCAAGAGTCCCACAAGAGAGGGGCCTCGCGCAAGACTAAGACCCAGAGAGTCCCGCAAGAGTGCCTCACAAGAATGTGCACGAGTGTCCCACGATTCATTTTGGAGAGAGGCCTTGACTATCCTTTACAAAGCATCATCATCCACTACACCCATCCTGCAGAACTTACCCACTATGTTTCGCCAACATTCTTGGGGGACACCCCTTGCGTGGAACCATTTTCCAGGATGATGATTTTACTTACCATTTTCCCTCAACATTCTTGGGGGCAACCCTTGCATGGAGCCATTTTCCAAGATGAGGAACTTACCCACCATCTTTGCTGGAAGCCTTTGTCCCAGTGGTCTTCAGGAAGGGTGCTGCGAAGAACTCAGGCGGCTTTTTTCAAGCCACTGGAGAAGTGGAGGTCGTGAAGAGGGCCGGAAAGTGGTGTAGAGCGGCAGTCCAGAGATACTTGCGCGATGATGGTGGCAATTTGAAGATCCTGTCAGGTCAAATGGCAAGCAAGGGTGCCACAGAAGGCGCACTACCTGACCCAGCAAAGTCACACTTCCAGCCTCCAAACCAAAGTGCTTGAGGTACCACTCCGCGGCAAAAGGTGAAGGATCAGGTGGACGCAAGGCTCTGCGTTTAAGCTGGAACTTAAGGAAGGGCGCAGACGAGCGCCGTCTCAACAGCGAGCGCGCCCTCTACCGCCCAAAAGGGGTGAAGGCCGCAGATGGCCATGAGGGTGACACCTTCCAGCCTGCCGAGGTGCCACTAAAACAGCAACTCAGTTGCGCGGGTGGAGCCAAGGTTTGAGAGATCCACAGAGACATGCTGTCCCACAGGGTCCTACGGGTCTTGAGCTTGCAGCCTGATGGACTGCGGGCGTGGGCAGGCGCAAGCCTCAGGTGTTGGCAACATGAGTTCTTTGCGTCAAAACAGGGAGAACTATATATACGCCAAAGGATTGACAAATGGCGCTCCGACGGGCGTTCTAGATAGCAATGCTTTGGTTGAGGCGTGCTGCGCCGCTGCGCGTGCCTTTCATGTTTCTGGCGGTAGTTCAATCATTGCATACAAGGTCACAGACAAAGGCCTCCCAGGTCCCTGCTTTTCTACCATAGCCCCTGGAGCGCGTCTCTCCATTTCCCAAGGTTGAGACGCAGCGTGAGGGTGGTCAGCCAAGCTGGGCAATGTAGATTTCAGCAAATCCACTTGGAATCCATTTTTGCATTGGAATTTGACGGGTGAGCCAACAAACTCAAGGGGATTTTCCCCAGCGCACGGGCGCCGTGCAAGCTCCCAAAACAAGATGTGACCGCAAAGACGTCGCGGACTGTAGCTACCAGTGGGCATAATATTTCAGCTGTAGAAAATGTTTGCAAACTGGGTCAGCAAGCCAGCAGCGCAGGCAGCTCACAAATACCAGTCTGGCCACTTCTTTCCGGGACATTCCAAGACTCCAAGACACACGAACAAGTAAGAATCACTCTTGGAGTTCCACGCTAAGGATGTGGTTCTTGTATTTTAGTTGCCCTGCTTATGGTTTTTGTTGTGATGGGGCGCAATGTATGGCATCTGTAGAATGAAACACGCGTCTGATATACAGGATCTGTTTGAGAACGCGGGGACTCCAGAGCAGTGCCGCCATGTTGCGTTTCGAAAGTCTAGCTCTGCGTTGCCCTTGCTTTGACCTGAAAGAGGCTTGCGCGCGATGCTGGTGAAACCTAGGAACTGTATTGCGCGCGCGCAAAAGCCGCGCGTACGATTTTGCCAGTTGTGTTTTTTGCGCGTGATTTTTTTGTTGCGCGCGTGTGCTTCTACAGTATTCGACACGCAACATTATATTTTTCTAGGAGCAGTACATATGCAACATGTCTCTTCTGTGCTCTTCAGAACGTGAGCCTCCCACTTGTTTGCCTATCTGATTGGCGATTTGTTGGGCCTACGCGCGCGCAAAGCTCTCACTCAAGTATTTGCGATAGCTTAGCTACTTGATTTTTTTGTGTCAGGTGTTTGTGTTTTCGGAGTTAGTTGTTATCTCTACTCTCGCTTGAGCCAGTGCAATCCACAAGAAACTCCCACAACGGTGTTTCCTACAAGAGTGTCCAGCAAGAGTGTCCCACAGCAGGGTTCTAAAAGGCTGACATCTGTAAAGCGAGAATCAAGGCCAAACATAGAGGCCAAGGCCCTCTAGATGCTAGACACTGACTTGTTTATGTTATGGTTGCATTGTTGGATGATGTTGGTATCGGTATACTACCTTCGCATGATATGCGATTTAGAAACCATACATGGAAATTCCCCCAGCAACGCGCCCCAGCAGAGTTTATTCACGGGAGAAGACTTTGATTGTTGGGTTTTCTCTTTGACAAAATCGTGTGTTTCCCATGAACTCATTGCGAAGAATGTTGACAAGTGTGCTTTTGTCTGAATGCATGCGTGGCACTGAAGCGGGCGCCAGCCGGACTCAGCCCGGGCGTTCACTGCATCTAGCTTCACCCGTTTCCTTCCAAGTTTCTCTATCATATTGAGCTGCACCAGCGACGTGTTGAGCAATGAACGTGTTGAGCCGACTATCAGCAAAAAAACTGAATGCAATCATGCGTGGACAAAAAACCTCCAAGCAAGAAGATTTGTGACACTCAAATCATGGAAATGGAGGGTCCATGGGGAGAGACCCCTCGATGCCGACCTACAAGCGCCAGGAAAGAAATGGTGTGGCAGTTTGTAGGGTTATGGCCTACACCTGGGTTTTTGTGTTTCGGCCTTGTTTTTGGTGATCGCTCAAAGCCCTACGCAAGGGTGTCCCACAAGAGTGTCACACCAAAATGTTCCACAAGAGGTTGCCACAAAAGTGTCTCCTACAAGAGTGTCCTAAAAGAGCGTCGCGCAAGAGTGCTGGAGTGTCGCGCGAGAGTGTCCCACAAGAGTGTCAAGCAATATCAAACAATGGTTTTCGAGTGCGTGTGTGCATTCGGGTTCACGGGCTCCGTCTTGTTTGACTTGCCAGCAAACTTTAGCAAATAACTGGGACAACAATCACTTTATCTCAAGGTATTCCTGCAAAAAAATGTGCGTCTCCGGGCCTTTGCTTTGATTCGTCCCTTGGGTGCTAAACTCCGCGGAGGGCTTATGGATTTCATGTTGAGTTGGTGTAGACCGGAGAGCTGTGGCATGTTGATCACTTTCAGGTCACACTTTACACTGACACACTCTATATATGTTTTTAATTTCTTAGCCGTGGTTTTCGAGGCCGGAGCTTGAGAGGCTCCGTATTCGGAAGTCGATCCTTATGATCCTTGCCTTGCACGATGTCCAACCTGGCCCTTCTCGACGGAAAATCAGCGACGGAGAAGTCCAAAGAAAAGATGCTGGCACTGAATCACGAAGCTGCACATGTCTCCAGGATTGGCACAGCGTTACAACACCTACCGACCGTTTACGTGACGCTGCTCCAAGAGACGCTGATCCAAGAGAGACTGTGCAAATGTCAATTCGAGTGGCCACAAGTTGAGCGGTCAGAGCAATGCCGACATGACACATCCGGACACTTTCATTCGACGGGAATGCGGAAATGGCAGCGATGGATGACTCTTCTGGGAGAATCAGGCCAAGAGTGAACAACAATATTCAACATTTGGCGAGGACAAACATATTTCGAAAGGATCGATACGGCAAATGGCAGTGGTGGAGGATGTGCCGAATTGGACGGAAAAAAGAGTGGCATTCAAACATTGGGCTCGGTTGGGTCAATCAAATATATATGGTGAAAAATTGTGTATGAAGTGCATTGTTTCTCCATGATTGCCCTGGTTCCCCTGGACAAAACAGAGATGAATCGAACAAATTGGCCAAGCCCCTTGTTGTTTTCTAGATTTGTTTCACGTCCTTGAGGCATTGCTAGAGAAGGAGAAGAAGGAAGCTGAGGCTTGGCATGGACAGCACACCACCTCTGGTAATGATGATGTAAACTGCAATTATGCCTAGCCCTGTAAATATATATATATACGTAGTTATGGGGTCCCCATGGTAATACGGAGTGCAACAGGGAAATTTCATGGTGATCCGAACACTGTTTGTCTATATATAAGATTCTATAAATAATAGTTGATTGTCCCAACTCTCAGGCGAAGCAGAAGTTGCAAAAGGCCTTGGCTGAACAGGCAGGTGTGTGTGGCCTGCGTCCTAAATGGCTGCGCAATCACATCCTGATGATCCTTATTTTTCTCCTCAGAATTCCTATTCACAGAGTCATTGTTATCAGGGTTCACAGTTGTGACGAGGACCTGCCTAAAACAGGGGAAAGCTTTGTTCGTCACATTCTGCCGTTATGTGATGTGTATATATATATATATACACACGTAATACATATATATTTACACTCACACGCTGGTTTGAAGGACTTGGTGCTTTTAGAAGAGGCGGTGCTCCTTTGCAAAGAGCTGCACTTGCCCCTCCGAGGCTAAGGGCGAATAGGTCAAACAGACGCACAGAGCGGTTTATTTTTTTCAAGCCAATCATACCAGTGTTTTATCTCAAGTACGTTTGACAATTTTTGAGCTTTCGAACAAGTGAAGGTGCTGATGAAACCTTGCGGAAGTGGAGGATTGAGGTGGGCTGCAGAATATGCAGCCAAGAATTACAGTGCAAGAATCTTCAAGATAGGGCATGTATGCCACACGCTGTACTTCAGTGATTCCGATATTCACAAGAAACTAAGCATGTTGCTGCTAGCAACTTGCTTTCGTTGCGACCGACGCCAGGCAGCTGAAAAGCAAGCAGCTGAACAAAGACTTCAGGCCTTGGATCCAGGGCCGGAGACTTTTGTGTGGGGGGAGATGGTGAAGGACATTTGCCTGCAAGTAAGATTTCAAGCAATTTAAAAAGCAAGTTCAACACATTCTCAGGAGTGAGAATGTGAAGAGACACGCTGATGCTGTGGTGGGATGGCTGATGTGATGCGCCTCCATGTATCATCACGCGGGGAGTTTCAGCGAATCACTTTGTACATAGTAGAGAGCTCACCAGGTCACCACAAGCTGCACAGTGGCACGCGACACTTCTTGCTATCCTTTGTTTATTCGCTCCGTTTCGCTCCATAGTCCAGGAGTTGCTCGAGGGTGCAGTCTTGTTTTTCAGCGCCTTGGGTGCTTGCGTGTTATAATAAAATGATATATAATGAATGGCGAGCTGTTCAAGATTTTGGTGCCCAATCTACTGAAACGGGTGACTGACATGGAAACATAGCTTGGCATTCCCGTGAGGCTGCCTTTGAGGCTGAAGACCCATGTGAAGTGAGAGAGGCTATCGCGCATGCCAGGCAAGGACAAGGAGTTTGTTGGCTAGACACTGTCTCCAAATTGCTGGTCAATACCAAACATCGCAAAACCGTGGTAGGTTCACATCGCTGGTAGATGCTGCTATATAGTCCGTTTTGTGCTTTTTAATGTTCGGGCTCAACTAGGGCCGGGCGTCCTGGGAAGCTCGACCCATCTAGCAATAATAAGCCCTTCATGCCTGACAACAACACAGAAGAACAAGTTCAAGTTGCACACAACAATTCCAAAGAAGGCTGTTTTTTGTAGGATTGATCGATCATTATGGAAGCAATTGAGACTCCCATCCATTTAAGTGCTTCTTCAGTTAGTTCTCCATTCCCAGCAAGGTCGAAGCTGGAGTCAGTGCCTCAGGGGAGGGGAGAACCTACAAAACAAGAGCAACACCACTTCAGTTTTGCAGAGTCTTCTGACGCGATGTGCGAAGGGTCCAGCAAACCGTAGAAGCCGTGGATGCTTGCAGAATGCTTGACAGGTCCACAGTACTTCAAGCTGCTGAGGATGGAAACTTAAGAGTGTGAGGAGGAATGACACAATGAGTATAAACAGTTGCGTTGCACGAACAGTGGCACAAACAGTTCCTAAAGGGATGACTGCCAAACAGTTGCACAGCTCCATCTTCCTCATGAGGATAAAGTGGCTGCCATGGAGGCGTTGGCCAAACGCCGCGAGATGGCATACGCTGAGCTGCTCTGAATTTGCTTCAGCTCTTTTGTGCAGTATTTGTGTTGCTTCAGTATTCGTTGATGCGCTGCCGAATGGGGATACATTTAGCTCGGTCGTGCTGCCAACCCAGGTTGTGCTTGGCCTGCAATGCTCGAGACACCCGACGACTCCAAACCGGTTTGGATGCTGCAAAGAAGGCTTGTTTGGAGACACGTTTGCATTGCTTGATTTCCATTGGCAACCCCCACAACAATGAGGTAAAGGCCTAAACGCATTGCCTACCTATTCCATGGAGCTATGTGACTCGCCGACGGTGTGTGCATGTACTTGCCAGTGTTTTTGTTGGTCTCTTGGAAGGTGGGACTACCTGCTGAACGGTTGCAGGAAAGCGAGCCCTGTTAGGGAAGCATGGCACTTGACACTTTGGGACGTTCCTGGATGACATGCTCACATTGTTGAGATGTTCATGGGCTCTACATTGTTTGGATTTCATAGGCACCTTGCACCATGTTACCTCATTCTTGGGACGACGGACTTGCCAGAGTTTCCATGAACTTGACATCCATAGCGTGCTTGTGTTTTGGGATTGTCACACCATGCAGCAATGAGCGGGCCAATGCCAGGATGCTGAGGATGCCTTGCAGGAGCTGCAGGATCAGGTGAGTTGTCACAGTGTTTGGCTCTGAAGCCTTTTTCTATTTTTTATTGTTTCGTTTGCAAGCGATCTTGCAGTGCTGCACTGCTGAACATGTTTTAACTGGAAACGCGATCCTGGTGGAGAGAAGCATGCTTCAGGAAGCAATACGCCAGAGATTGTGCGAAATGGTGAACCAGGCAGGTTTCTAGACCTTGACTGCCTTGGCATTTAAGTAAGTCTCTACCGTTTCGATCATGACGTTCTCTTTTTTCTTATCTTCCTTACCTCCACCTATTTGCCTTGAGAAGAAGTTAGTTTAAATCCGACTCAAGGCCATTCAGCAGCGCGAGCTGTCAGGGCTGAAGCAGGTTTGGCACCCAGCGAGCTGTCAGATAAGGTGACAAACCCACTGTATATAAGAAGTGTTTGAAGGCATTCTATAGTTTGCGTGTGTGTTGTGCTCACATCTATATAGCCCATGAATCCAGAATTTAACCGCCTGCCTTGTCATTCAATCGCGAGACGAGACAGGATCGAGATGAATGAAGCGAAGCCACAACAAACTCTTGAATTGTTCTTGTCGGTCCATTGTCAAGGCAGCTGCTGCTGTTCAAAAGGGATATAAATGTCATTATATAGTATTATATATACACCTGATTCATGTATCTATTATATAATTGCCTGCATCGCATCAGGCTGCCTGAGGTGCTGCAAGCTGCTGCCTGCCCTAAAAAAAGAGCTTTGACCATTTGCCCCGAACTCACCAGGCCTTGCTGGAGGCGCAGAGTGAGCTGCTTGGTGAGGAGAGAATTGTACTTGAGCCAAGGCGTTTGTTTCGAGACTGCCAGATGAGACTCTATGGATTCTAATCCTGTCCACCTTTTAAAAAACACGGTCCCCCCCTAATAAGGAAACCTCGGTCGCATTTTTTAAAATAGGGGGTCCCTGATTGTCTAAAATAGGGTCACCTGGAAGAGCTTCAAAACCCAAAAATCACCCAGGACAATTTTATATCAAATCCTTTATTACACGCGTATCAAAAATTCAAAAAACCTCCAGATCGAAGGGTCTTCCTTTTCCCCTGCAAAAACCTCTATTGGTTGTTTTTGAAACCTCATAAAACAAACTCCTCCAACATCGGCCATGTTGGTAGTTTAGTAGCGGCTTTAAAGGGCGGTAGTTAAGTTTAAAGCGAATATAGACCGTATTTAGGGGGTTCCGACATGACTTCTTTAATTGGGGTCCGTTTTTAAATAGGTACTTGGGATTAGTGGGTAGTGTGAAGATGTGGGAAGAGTGGGGACGGTTTCAACATGCAACAGAGGAGCCTGTGATGCAAAAGGCTGAGCAAATCTGCGTGGAGTTGGAAGAGGCCCTTGCTTGTACCTTCTTTTTCTTCCTCTGTGTTTTTTCGGTAACCTGATTCTCGTATATTCTCATGTAAGTTGAATGCTCCGGCTCCAGCATGGAATTGCATCTTCCTTCTCGCATTCAAGTGAACTATGCCTTTTATCTGTGAGGAGGCCAGACGCCAAGCCGAAGCCGCCCTGCGGAGGAGGTCTGCAGAAGCTCTCGTTGTGCTGATGCTCAGCTGCGATGCTGCAAGCGATGCACAGCTTCCGCACAGGGAAAGATGACAAAGAGTAAACGTGGCGGAAAAATATTAGTAGTTATCCCGGCAAGAGACCCGAAGCAGTGTGTGTGAGGTCTAGAGGTGTAGCAGCAGAAAGTCTAGAGATCTAGACGCATTGGGGTCCAGAGAGGTGATTGTGGTGATGGTGGTGGTGGATGGTGATGGTGGTGGTGGTGATGGTGGTGGCCGGGGTCTTGTGAGAGTGAGACTGAGAGTGGGGCCAAGAGTGAGTGATTGGAGTGAGTCTGAGTGGGAGAGTGAGTGAATGTGAGAGTGAGTGAGAGTGTGAGTGAGAGTGAGTCAGAGTGAGTGAGAGTGTGAGTGAGAGTGAGTCAGAGTGAATGAGTGTGAGAGTGTGAGTGAGTGAGAGTGTGAGTGAGAATGAGTGAGAGTGAGTGAGAGTGAGTGTGAGTGTGAGAGTGAGTCAGAGTGAGTGTGAGAGTGAGAGTGAGTGAGAGTGGAGTGAGAGTGAGAGAGTGTGAGAGAGAGAGAGAGTGAGCCACGAAATCTACACTTCGAGGTTCACAAAAGTACTGCGCCTGCCGCGAAGTCTGCACTTCGAGGTTCAGAAAGTGCTGCGCCTGGCACTTCAAGATTCACATGCGGCAGCCCTGCCAAGGCGTTTCGCCGCAAGAACGCTTCCAAAGACAACGTCCAGATACCAAAACGCAGCTTTCGCGCGAGACTTCCTCCGGTTTCTGATAACCAGACACATGTAGAAAAGTCACGATTCACTGCACCTGTCACGAAATGAGCGCGTCGAAGTAAAACCGCTCCGATCCCTTGTGCCTGTCGTGAAAAGTTGACTTTGGCCTATACCAAAGCACGAGGTTTTCCTTGCGCCTGCCACGAAAAGTGACCACATGTCCGAAAACAAGCGCGGCGCCACTACGAGAGCGCAATTTTTTGCGAGCCTGCGCAGTCGAAACACACTTCGAGGATGTCGAGAGGCATGAATGTATTGTAAATAGCAACGAATTAGGCGGACGCGACGCGACACACCGGCCCTTAACACCTATACCAGTGTGACCACGCTGTTTGGGGAAGAAAGGATACGGTTCAAATCCCTTGTGCACACCCAGGTGGATGACAAATAACGCACATTACAAGTGGTTTTGTCATGTTGACGAGCCACGCTCTTGGACAGGGTCTGGAAATCATTGGTTTCATTCTTGCAGAGACTTGTTCAATCTTGCTCGGACCTGGCTCCCAAACATGTTGGTTCCTTCATCTATGCTTTGCTCTCGCTCACTGTTCCAAGGACTCTGGGAATCTAGTCCAAGGAAGACGACGAAGCCAAACTTATCCAATCCCCAACAGTCGGGCATGAATTCGCCTACATGGCCGGGGCCATTGTAAAGTGTAAGTTACTATTTTAATCAGGGGCGTGTTTTTCCCGGACAGCCGGACAGTGCTGCTTTGAAGCACGTGGCTCCTTTCAATGTGCAATTTAGGCATCACCGCGTGGCATCTTGTGTGTCCGCGTATTAGCAAGCATGACAGCGCTGCGACAAGCAAGAAACATGGCACCTGGAACCCGCTCTCAAACCCAGCATGTCAGCGCGACAACATGACCTGATGTCAGCGTCCCAGCGTGACAAGCGTCAGCGTGCTAGCGTGACCCGTCAGTCTACCAGCATGCCAGCGTGACAGTGTGTCAGCGGGACAGCGTAGAACATGCGCCCGCGAGTAGAACGTTCTAGGATGTTCTAGACTATGGAAGATGTTAGCGTGTCTTCACATGTCCACATGAAAACACTGTATGCAACATGCCATCATGACACCATGCGTGTCAGCTCAGCATGTGCGCATGAAGGCGTCCTAGGGTGTCAACAAACAGCACGTCAGCGTGGCAGCATGATTGCGATTGATTGCGAGTTAGCGCGACAGAAAGGCAAAACGGTTCGGTTTAATGTCGGTGGGACAGTCGCCCACCACGCGAGTGTGGCAGGCTGACGCAATGGCAACGTGTCAGCGCGACACCGTGCCATGATGACGATTGACGATGACAATTCAGCACAACGCCGTGACAATCAATGTCAGGACCTGCTCCAGAACTTGGTCCGGAACTTGCGCCCGAACCTGCTCCAGAGCCTGCTTCGGAACCTGCTCGGAAAATTTCAGGGTCAAAAAATTGCAGAACCCATTTGCAACTTGCGCTAAAATCGGCTTCGGTACCTGCTTCTCCGGATTCTGCTCCAGAATCTGCTCGGAAGTTGCTCCGGAACTTGTTCCGGACTCTCGCTGTTGGGATCTGTTGGGCAACCACGGTTGAAGACCCCCGGCTTTGCTGGTGGAATAAACAAGCAAATCAAGCAGGTGGGTTCGTTTCAGGTAAGCCAGTAATTAAGCCCCTAGGCTGTCATGTGGCAAATCCAAAACACTTTCAAGGTTTGTGACATCTTGTTTTCAACAAGCTGTAAATCTGGAGTTGTCATTATGCCTCGGAATTTCTCAGGCAGCGGTTGATGCTGGGGACTGGGACCGAATCCAGCAGGCGCTGTGTGGCATGACCTGGCACGTGATTGGTTGCTTTGGTTGCCCATGGAATTGTGGCAAGGCAAGATCGTGAGTGTGATATCACATGATATCAAACATGTGGGCAAGGCATGGCAAGGCTACGTGTTCTGAATTTTTCAGGCACTTGAAGAGGGACTTGCAGCTGGCTTGGCCGAGGACAAAACATGAATCCTTGTATTGCACGTGCAATTGCAGCCAGAACCATACTGTGCCCAAACATCAACAGCGCAGACAAATTATATATATAACAAGTGCATTTTTGATAATCACACACTTTTTCAGCCACAAACAAAATATAACCATGTAACCAAACGCAAATTACTATCTCTGGGATGGTTTTGTGTGGGATGATTCATTGGTTGGTTCCTATTGTCCAATGAGAAATCAATTATTGTGTTGAATCGTTTTCTCTCGGGACATCACAACCAACCCGTGTGAATATTACAAAAACATACAATAACTAATTCAATATGGGCGTGATCTGATCCGCAAGGTCTATTTGCTGTAAAAGTTTGGTTTTCAATACCCGCGACATCTCCACGGCCTTTGTTCGTCGCCGCGTTACTTCTCTAGTTTGTCGAAGTGTGCGGCAGTAAACAGTTGGTTTTTGATTACGAAAGATCAGCAAAAACTCCAGGGCAACATCTTGCGCGAAAGCTAAGGATTACATAGCACATGTGTTTCAAAGGGTGGCACAATGTCGCACCGGATTAGCAAACCTCTTGAAATGTGTGAAACATGGGTTGCTTCTGTCATCCTCTGTCAGACGGAATTTTGGACAACTCCCATACTTGAGTTGGCTTATCAGTCACACAACCGCACACAACCATACGCTCCAGCGACTCAGACATAAATGGACTATTTACACAAAGTGATCAACCCCTCGTTTACACTCTGGTTTGGTGAGGGTGAGATTGACTAGATCCTGGAATGAGTCTGCTTGTTGAATAGCCAGTTCATTTCAAGACCGTCGTGCTCTTCAAGTCTGCTCATGGCTGCTCAAGCTAATACAGGGTTACTCACAAGTAGGCTTAGCCATGGCGGTGAGTTTACAGCTGGATCATTCCTGTACCTTTGAGGAGGGAGCACCAGTTCGTGCTGCTCAAGCAAAGTTGGAAAGCTTGCGAGAGGCATCGCACCGTATGCAGTACATACTTCTTTTGGGCTTGCAAATTTGGAGACCTCACAAGCAGAACAAAGAGCACAGGCCCACGAGCAGCAGGAAGCTCAGCTCATCGTGCAAGAAACACAGGCAGCTAGCCGGGTGACGATTGGCAGATCCCTGCAGCAAAGGCCGACATAAGCATAACGTAAACTGACATCAAGATATCCTCAAATGATTGCTTGTAGCAGAAATCTATGGACGTATGATGAAAGGAAGAGCTACCGAACGACAATGAATAACTATAGCTATGAAGAACATGCCTACGAAATCACAAGCACATGCAGCACTTTCTAAATCAACAAGTCAAGAAGAAGTTGAGGAAGTTGTATTCAACAATGGGCCTTCTCCGCAAACGCATCCGACTGAGCTGCGTAGGGGATTGCTTTTCGATGCAAAAAGCCTTCGCAGCTGGCCAGGCACGCTTGGAGGAACTTTGTGCTGTTGAAGGAAGGCTCTCAGGGCCCAGCCACAAGAAAGAGCGCTCTGCGCATGCAACTCAGAAGTCAGCAGGGAGACTGTCCGGCATGAAAAATGAATGACCACCATGTTTGAAATACCTTTGGCATCCCTTCACGAATGTCCTGATATTCTCAAACTAATTTAGTGAATATGTTTTAACAGTTTTTAACATGTAAACATCAAACGCATCAAACATCATCTATGAGGTGATTGCACGGTTGAAACCAAGCATGCCACTTGGAACCTTCAGAGTCCAGAAGAAGATCTAGATGTCATGTCTGAGGATCGGCAAGGAGATCATGAAGCTTCGGGACAGCGAAGCTTATATCTCTGCAGCACCCTTAATGCAGTGTCTTGTCCCCTGCTACATACAGAGGGATCAGAGCATTACAACGTGTTTGCAACTATTCTTTCAAGGTGCTTTTGGTGTTTTACCGGCATGTTGGCAACACCAAAGGAGCACGGAACTCTTTGACGCCATTGTCTCAGGCAAGAAACTTCCTCAAAAACCCGCAGCAGGCCAACAGCTCGGAAACATATGGAAACATTACATGCCACGACCACGCATTCCATTCCTTGAAGCCAGTGATGGACTCCTTGTATGCAGGTTTGACAACACAATCAAACATGCTGTGCGGTAGAATTTCTGCTCAATACCCAAACACTTGAGGAGCGCCAGCGTCGAGAAGAGCAGAGGCATGGGTGCATCACAAAGTGACATAAAGTGACTTAGTGATAGCATTTGCAGCTCCGACACCTACTGCATTACCGAGACACCCTCTTGCTCCATCTTCGGGGTGAACCGGTGGGGTGGA